CTTACAACAAGGGATATTTGGCACAATACAACTTATGCATGTATTGGGTGAGGGTATTAAGTTTTAAGTTCAGTAAGAATAATTTTTAGAACACTGGTAGATCCATAGGAAAAGCTATTTGAATCAAGGGATGTCAAAAATCCCTTTTTCTATCCTGTCATGCGAGTCACGTCAAAGAAACTGTGATACATGAAAAAATAGCGATTTTAAAGTAATCATATAAAAACTAAACCATAAATTCACAATGCCCTGACTCAAATACATGCTAATTTGAGTTGAATAAATGCCAGGTTAACAACAGTAATGCATTAAAACCTCACATTTTGTTCAAATGTCACGCGAGTCACCATGGAATGGCTTGGAAGATTTTTATGGGATCTCTCCTAGTCTCTGACTTCTGCTACGGATTGTTTGCAGTACTCCCGCATATGGTTCTCTTATTTGTGCCAAGTCTGACAGTTTTGGAACAACTCGTGAACTTCTGTAGCTACTTCTTCCACATGCAGTGTTTTCTCTCGATGCTTCTGCTAACTGTTGACCGGTACATCGCCATAACCAGGTGTCTTCATTATCCGCGTCTGGTGACCCTCCGTCGAGCACAAACCACTGTACTTTGCAGCTGGCTAACTTCTATAGTTTCTGCCATTTTCTCCTATTTTTGGGAGAAGGTGATGATTTATTTCATAGAAAGCCTCGCTGTGCTTGCTGTAGCTGCCATTGTGATCATGTACGCACACATTCTGACAATCGCAAGACGCCAACAGAGGCGCATCGCCCAGGAGAACCAGCCGGCCCAGGAAAGAATCAACTCCAAGCCTTTCACCACAGTCATGATTGTCTTTGCACTTCTTGTAATTGGATGGCTTCCACTTCTAGTGGTTGCCTTTGTTTACGCCGATAACAAAAAACCTGATTGGTTGATAATTGTTTCACTTGTGTTCAACATTACCAAGTGGCTAGATGGAATTGTCTTTTGTCTGAGAAATGCTGAGTGTCGTCAAATCATTCGCAGCATGACATCTGTTGCCTTCAGTGCTTTGATGCAGAAGTGCCGATGCATGCATCCTAATTAAAAAAAATTTAACAATTGATGGACATAATTTGTTCCAAAGAAAAAAAGTGTAAATAGTTGTAGGCAGATAATTACCGTTGTGTGCTGGTCTGATTTTCAAGTAGTAGTGTTTCTAAGTGAAGTTAATTGTTAGTTAACTGCAACATTTTGAATGTTGAAAAACTTGCACTTAAAAATAATTAACCAAACACTGGTGTCTTTTTGTTTTTATACTGTTCGGAAAAAAATGGATTGGCACAAAAAGTTTCAGCATAAAATTAATCTATAATGAATCCTTTAAAGGGAATATACAACATTTGCAAACATCAAAAAATAAAACTACCAATTTTTATGAAATACCTTACTAGGATGTTGGTAAATGACAGTCTAAAGCATCCTGTAAAATTATGGCACCTGGTGTGAAGTCATTTTCAAAAAAATTGTATTTTTGTATAAATTTCCAACGGTGGTCGGCCGACCACCGTTGGAAAAACCTAACTATTTTTCAACTACTGCTCTAAATTCACAATTTTTTTCAGTCCAAAAGTTTGTTTGCTATGCATGGTTTCATGTTCATGAACGGATGCAGGCCAGCTAGACTGCTTCCCTTACCTTACAAATTTCCGGCATCTATAAATTGATCCATGTTATCTTTAGTGGAGTCAGGGAACCAGAGTACTCCACCATTTGTGTTTTTCTTGGTTTTTCCAGCATTTTCGAACACAAGACTTCAAACATGTCAGTGTAACAATATTTGATCTATAATAGTAACCCCTCAAATAGTTCATTTCTGAAAATTACAGCAAAAACCAATGATGTACATTCCCTTTAAGACGGCGCACTAAATAACAATTTTGTTTGTCCACTGCGTGAACCACATGTACAGTGATTAGCAATGGCACAATGTACATGTACGTGTACAGGATAATGTACATTTTGTATGTGGCTTGGAAAAAGCTGATTGTTAAATTACATTTTTGCGTGGTTACATGTATTTCATCTGGCACATTATACATGTTGGCAATGTGCATTTCACATAAAAATGTTGAAGACGTACGTGGGTTTTGTGAAATAACAACACAAAATGGTAATTAGTTTTGTTGAGCCGGATACATATCCCTTACCCTACCGTTCCTAAAAGCTCCCTAATAACAGGAAGGGCATACATGAAACCTCATTTTGAAGCAGGTAGCGTGATTAGTTTTGACACACTGTGATAGATGATGTACATGTAGTCCTGCTGATCTGTCATCATTAGCACTTAATTGAAGGTGTGTGCAGTTCATTTGTCATGGTAGGGACTAGGCGGTAACACAGGGGGGGGGGGGGGCGTGGCGTGGAAGGGGGTATGTGTCGTTGGGGGCATCGGGCTTGTCCCCCTTCCCATGACTGGGAATAAACTGGGTTTCTTTTAATAAAAGAAGGGAAAAGAACCCAAAAAATATTTTAGTGAGGACAGTATAGCGAGCACGATTTTTACCATTAGGAAAACTAATGGTTTTGTTTTGTGTTTGTTTTTTGCTTTAATTTTTAGTGTCCCCGTGAGGTTTTAGTCCCCAAATAGCTACATTGTATGTAATATATACATTACATAAAAAATGTGCATAACATATACCTGTAGTTTTAATATCTGGTACCATGGCAACACCCCAACCTGGACGTTACAGTCTTTAGTTATCAAGACAGCTATGTTACATCTATATGCTTAAACATCGAGTGTTTTTATTGTATTAATTAATGTCACCTGTTTGTTACAGCGTCAGACAGTTAAAAGTAAACTTAAAGTACACATGTTCGGCCAAAAAAGTTTCCGGTTTCTGGTATGCGGGCGCGTCGCCGTAGCCATGCGTGTTGGCAAAATTTTTAAAAAAAAATTCAATGTACATGTAAGATGATGTCTCAAAACCGCCAAACTCACTGGTTTGACTGGAATCCTGCTGCTGCACAATTTACAATGTAACCTGTTTTTAGATGGGGTTAAGATCGAGTATAAGCTTTATGTTGCCTCTCTGGGCTCCCATATATTTTGCATTAAATTTAGTCGGGCACCATTTGCAGTCATCAGCCGACATTTGAAAAAAAAAGTTTAAAAAAAGAAAAAAAGCCGCTTCGCCGCACCACTTTTGGGGCAAGTTCCATACCAGAAACCGGTGACTTTTTTTGGCCTAAAGTAACGTGCAGTAGTAACACTTGTATTTAAAAAATGTATACCATTGTGAATAATGTTTAGTCAAAAATAATTGTTCACATACATGTAGCTTTTCTCTATGCCTGCACGCAAGTTCTCTTGAACAAATATATTTGGATCGTCAAATTTGTGCTAAAACTAAATGAAAATGTTACTGTGTTTGATAATAATACTGACCTACATGAGCAATGAGTCGTTCATCAATAAAGTTACTGTGTATTTTATAGAATGTTGTTCCCAACAGCTCTGTTGTCTTTTTATAGTATCATCTTCAAATTCTTTATTTTCAGCATCTATAATTTAAGAATTGTTTTTTATGTATGTCTTGTAACTATTTGAGGGTGGTGTTTTTATCTAGTACTTTCTTTTTCTTGAGTGCGGGGACTAGTAAAGAAAAGAAAATTATCATTTCAACAATATTCTACAGAAATAAACAATCAAACCAGCCTGATATTGATATTTCTGCATGCAGCAGAAACCGGGCATGCTGGCCCTAATTTACATGTCATTACAGCCATTCGGTAATTCAAACCCGAAACAAATTTGAAAACAGAGATTTCAAAATTATCCTAAGCGTATATATGACTTCATCCATGTTTGAGTCAATAATTCTTTACACAGTTAAATTATCATGAGATGATACTCATCTATTGTAGTTGTTATGGTTCGTTCCTGGATATCCTTTCCCATATTTTTACTATCAAAGTCTGCCAATTGCTGTGTTGACTGCCAGATATGAAAAACTATTTATGGAAAAGTGGAAACGTGTACCTGAGTTATGCAGTCAATGCTTTCAGGCTAGCGGTAGCAACAGCCAATCTTCTACAGATAAATGTTCAAGACATTGGACAGCTTTGGATATTAACAAGACTTGACAATGATTGTGTTGTTGGCGTTGCTGCTTAGCGTGAAGTGACTTAGGTTAAATCCAAACACATGAGCTACTTCCTATTCAAATTACCCGCCCTGAGCCACTTTGCAGTGCATTATTTACATTACAATGCTAAAGTAGATTTATTGTAATTTCCCCCGGTACTCAACCGAATAAATCAACATTTGCTATCAGAGTCCTTAAGCACTGTTTAGCAAAGAACGGCACATTTTATCCTATAACACAAACAATCTTGGAGAAGTCTTTGATAGTATGTTGCATGAGTACGTTTAAAACCAAATGCCTAAAATTCCCATGCAACTTTCTCACCAACAATTAAAGTGTGATATGTGATGTTTCCTTTTGAACTTGAATTTAAAAAAAGGGACAGTAAGGCCAAAAAAAAAAAAAAAAGGTCTCTGGTCAGACCAAAGTTCCGAAATTGATGCGGCAATGCGGTTTTTTTTTGGGGGGGGGCCTTTTTATTGGGGGTCCTCCATAATTTGCCTTGGTGCAATTTCCCTATTCCTCGGTACAAAAATTTGAGGTGCGGCAATAGAGGGCGCTGCTGTAGCTACCGCAGACAATTTGAAGAAAAAAAAAGGTTGACGCGCATGATTAAAATCGAGGCGCGCGCTGACCAGAGGCCGACTAATATTTTGTTTTGGCCTAACATATGACAAGTATAATTTTGCACGTTTTGAGTAAAACTTTGCAGATGTACTTAGCATGGGTGCTTTTTTTGCCAACTTTCACTGAAACTTCTTTTTGGAAGCTGATGGGGGATTCAAGGTTAGGTATTTTACAAACAAGTGCCTGTACCAACACTTGATAAGTTAATCCTTTCACCAGAGATGATTAGGATTTTATTTTTCCTTGCCCTTTGGCAGGTTTGCCGATTGTCCTTCCCAAGGAGAGCGAGTCGGTTCTCATCGGAGCATCCATTCTGGGCGCCCGGGCTTCAGGACTGTACCCTACTGTCCAGGTAAAAACTCCTAGCTAAACTTGATTGTATTCTGCCTACTCTTTCGAAAATACGACAGGGAAAGTCCCTTATACACTTGTTGTCTGCTGTGATGTAGTCCATTGCGGTGCTGTAGTCAATCACAAGTCCAGTCACAAGTAACTTGATGAATAATGATAAAAGATTGCTTTTGCAAAAGTTCATTTGAATAGTTAGTGATGTGACTTGAAACTGAAGGACTTGGGATGGACTCGACTACATAACACTCCACTGGTCCATGGCAAAGCCAAGGGTTCCATTTACTCCAAGGGCATACAAAACCGATGGCCCACAATTAGTTTTGTCCGACTTTCTTCGGAATCGTGCGGCAACTCGAAAAACTCTATCAAGAGTAAAATAGCAATTCATGTACTTCAAACACAAAGTTGTAAGTGTCTTGTTTCAACCGGCTCCATGTTGATCACGATTTGCTGGTAAAATAGGTCATTTTCATTTGCGACTCCACAACTTACGCCACCTAAAACAATTGCACAAGTAACGTCATACTTTGTTGCGCAAGCCACTGACTTACGTACCGGTACTATGAAACTTTCGTGAAATTGTCATAACTGAAATGTTGTGCTGTTGTGGCGCAAGTAGACTTAGCGCAATGGCGTAAAGTTTCGTGAAATCGGCTGCTGTACTACATTGTATTACATTGTATTTATTATTAAATATAGCCGGTTCAGTGATTCCCGTACTGGGATCAGTGATTCCCATGTATACACGGGAATCACTGAACCGGCTATATTTATTGTGTAAAGTTGCCAGATGGAGGCTCTGCATGCCTATGGCGGAAGCGTGCAGAGTGCGAATTTCAGGGACTAATGGGTTAATATCAGTTTGGTCTGAAATGCGATGCTTGTTTTTACATCTCACTTCCCAGGATGCAATGCACGCGATGTGCAAGGCCGGTGACGTCATCCAGCCCGACGCCAGAGTGAAACAGTTTCACGACAACAAACATAGGGTCTTTCTGCGAATGGTCGAACATCAGAGGGAGTACAGGCAAATCATGCAACAGCCACAGTAAATTTGAACACAGTTTTAATTCATTTTTAAATTCCTTAATAATTCGCTTAATTATATGCCAACAAACAGCAGGAAATTCGTAATTAAAATAAGTCATCAAGAATTAAAAACTCTTCAAAATTTTAATATTTGCTTATCCTTATATCCACCGTAATGAGTTCAGTTTCTCACATATTTACGAATATTGTATATATTTTTTTAAAACATCTCAATCTTGTGTACATATTTAAATAAGACAACTCTGCAGACATTGCACTTTAAAAATAAAATGGAAAAGTTTTTGGCAAACTTTCAATAAATACAAACATTAAATGATGTTAGTGAAGATAATGAGACAAGTATTGATTTCCAAACAGAAAAAAAATCTGAAAGAAACTTAAATAACTCAAATATTACAAAATAGAATTCAATCAGCGTATATGCATGCAACAGCTGTCAGAATCAGATTGTTTTTTGGCGTTAAATTTATTTTTTTTAAAGTTATTGCCAACTTAATAACGATAATTACCATTTAAAAACAGTAATAATATGAATAAATGAGAGGTTTGCGGTAACACCATGTGGAAACATCTCTTTTGTGAGTATGTGTGGTTTTGAAGAGAACCTGTTGGATTAACTGAACGTTTCGAACAGTGTGCTCTGTTCGTCATCTCCTGATGATGAACAGAGCACACTGTTCGAAAGTTGAGTTAATCCAACAGGTTCTCTTCTGAACCACACATACTCACAAAAGAGGTATTTCCACATGGTTTTACCACAAACCTCTCACTTATTGTTCTTTCTACCATGCAAACCTTTAAGTCTCAAGTAATAATATGAAGAAATAAGTGAAAGTATTGTTATCTCTTTTTATGTCAAGACTCTCAAAGTATCTAAAATGTATTGCATTTAAACAATTGCAAGCTGTTGTTTCAATTAAATTGACTTGAATTTAGGTTATTTTTTTTTTACATATACATACATTCACCTGTGCATTGTATTGTATTTGGACAAAACTTCACATTCCAATACTTGAAACCTTGTTTATAAACTTTGAGGAAGTGCAGAAAGAAATCATTGTTAAACAATTTATTCAATCTGAAGTTGTACATCTCCAACATTTCAGAATCTCTGAAATGTATATCTTTGTAACACGCTGCTTTGTTTCAAAATGATAAAAAGGAAGAAATTCATATAAAGTGTAAGACAATGTGCCTGTAATAAGGCAAGAATGCTGAAATGTCTGAAGAAAAAGTTAATGCTGGTTTCATAACGTTAAAATCAAATTCTTAAAGTTTATGTTTATAAAATAAATAGAAATAATTTTTAAATAAACTCTATACAATGTTTGCATTGATATTCCAGGCAATTAATGATCAATGCAAGTAGCACCATGAACCAATTAGAATATTTTAACTGATTAAAACTTTGTAAACTATATATACACAGAGTTGGGAGGTCAACATTTTGCATTTTGTTGCACTGGCCAATTGATCATGAAGAAAAATATTTGTTAAAAAGTAGGCAAGAGACCTTAAGTAACGTACACATATATACATGTATAAGGATGGGCAAAGCTTCTGGAATTGCATTCGTTCTGATCAGTGGCGTAACTACAGGGGAGAACGCGGGCACGTGCAATCCTGGCATGAACTGGTAACAGAGATCCCACCAATATATCAAAAAAAGCCTGAAACACTACTAAAAACCTGAAACCAGCCTTACCTTCTTTCAAAAAATGGGTTTCTGGATGTTTCTGACCAAATCCAGCACTTTTAATTTGTCACATATTTTGAAGAAAAAAAAACTGAGTACAGGTTAAAACCTGAAAAGTGGCATCTCTGTGGTTAAGATGCTATTTTCAGGGAATAAACTGACGTGAATCGGATCAAAGGTTATTGATTTTACATATTGCTACAGCTAAAAATTCCTCCCATATTTACCAATTTTTGTTTAAAGATTTTAAGTAGTTACTAAACTGTTTCAATAAATAGGATTTTTCTAGCGATTTTACCAAGAATAGGGCTGACAAATATGGCCTATACAGTAAAATTTCCCTGTTTAGTTCTCAATACACACATTTATTTGATCCTTGATTCAGAGTTTAACAGGACAGCCGCGCGCTCAGATTGGAATTGAAAGAGCTACGATCATCTGGAATTTGTTTGGCCAATCGGAATCAGGAATGCAACAGTCACAACCAATCCCCTCCATTTCACACTATTCCTGCTCTTCAGAAACAAGCAGCATCGACAGTTTTCAAAATCCATACCCTATGATGCATTACACGCAGAACGTTGCGGAGAGTATGGCCTTGTCCAAAACCAGCTTCCAGAGCTATGGATGTGGGCTCCGAGCATGAACAAGAGAGGGCGCTTTTTGCACTTTCGAATGCCCAGTGGATGGGACTCACTGCCTGCCCAAAGTGGTTCACGTCAGTCACACATGTATAGCATGAAGTAGTTAGTACACATTATTGATTTTTTTCTCAGTGTGCACGAAGCCATAGCATCTTTGCGTCAGCATCTGATCATACGCTTGAATATCTCCAACTTTGTAACTGTTCAGAGGGTACTTGTGCACAGGGTCCATTGTCGGGGTATTCTCTTATAGTTGTAAGGGGCAAAGCCCTGAAAAATAGCTCTAGACAGTCTTTGGGATGCGGCCTAAATTTCCTACTTTGCTGTCTTTATACCTAAAGGCAGAGAAAGTAAGTGACCACCACTACAGCAGTCATAATTACAGGACTGACGTGAAATACTGTATGTACCGATCCTCCAAGTAGATATTTCACAACTGAAAAACCAAGGGAAAAAGCAAAAATAGAATGAAACATACAGTCCATCTTGGGTCAATGTGACCAATCAGGTCAGTGTTTAACTGTATTTTCCTTCATGGCATGAAACAACTAAAGATTGTTATATCGTGTGCTTGGATGTTGGATTTTCACTGTTCTAGAACAGCCGCGTGTTTTGTCTATAAAAAAGCATGTCACACACTAATATCCAATTTTACGTGGATATCAGTTAAATCGCACTGCGTTCATTTCACACATTTCGTGGACGTACCCGGTATGAAACCTGCCGGCACGCTAACTATCGTGCAATGAGAACTGCAACGTCAACCCCTCAGTCTCGTGTCCAGCAGAACATCAAAACTTTCACTTATCAAAGGTTTCATCGTAGTGATTTAATTTGTTTCTCGCACAGTAATTTACAACCATTTTAATTGTTTAGTTATTGGCACGATATAACAAAACAATTGTTGACTGCTGTGATGTGGGATATGCCCTTTTAAACCCCCTCAGGGGGCATAGCACCCTTGACTTCTCCTTGGGTGCTATGCATCCCTCGGGTGTTAAAGCGTCATATCCCGCATCACAGCAGTCGGCAATTGTTAAATATACCTGCGTATTCTTCTGGTTGGGATCCCAGTACATCGGTGGTTTACTCCAATTATACTCTTGGGCGAGAGAGGCAAGTGGGATAAAGTGGCTTGCCCAAGGACACAACATATGACCTATACAGTGGAACGTTGCTATACCGAACACCGCTATACCGAACATCGTCCTTGGCTCCCGATTTTTGTGTACAAAATGTACCGAACATTGTTGTTGAAAATTGTCAACAGAAGAGTGACAAGTGGCTATTATTTCCCCAAGGAATAGAAGGGAAAGCCACCCATTGCTGTAGGTAGTAAGCTCAAAAACTGTGTAATTACATGACTCCATAGTTGGCACATGTTCAAAGTCGTCTTTCAGTAACTACCAGGCGTGCAGGGTGACGTTCTGAAGGGCGCTATTTGTTGAAAGTGAGAACCAGAGCACCAGCAGCTTAAAATCGTTACACCGAACGATCGCTGTTACGAACAATTTCTGTGGATCCTGTGATGTTCGTTATGGGGGTGTTTCACTGTAGCAGGATTCTAACTCCTGACCCTCTGACCAACAGTCACAGACATAATCTCAGATATGAAATGTACCAGGTATCCTCCAAATTCATGCAGACAAATTTTTTTTTTCAGAATTATAGTGAATGAATAAAGTGACTCACCATTGAATGAATATTCATCAGAGCTGGTCTCCCCATGCTGGTTACCAGCAATAATGCGCACCTTGAAGTCACCTTCAAATAACCCTGCTTTAGTCTGACCAGTATCTCTGATAGGTACGCTATGATGGACCCCCATGACGGTACCGAATGCCAGCCACTCATAGGCTGAGGCGTTGCCCTTGGGAACACCTTGGGTGGGGATCCGTTTGGCCTGGAAAAAACACACAGACACACCAACAGGAATTTAGCTATATCGTTTCGGTTTGCGGTAACACCATGTGGTTTATAACTACTGCTTAGAAGATATTTAGTTCTGAAAAGAACTTGTCCTGCTTATTATCAACTTTCGCTAAGAAGTTTTTGTTCTGATAAGAACAGTCCTGCTTTAAGTTCTAAAAGTCTTTGGTCTCAACGTTTCGAATAGCCTGCTCTAGTCATCGTCAGGAGAATTTAGCTGTTTACTGGTACCAATAGCAGGCGCAGATCCAAGGGTGGGTCCAAAAAAAAAACGAGTTCTGTCCCCCCAATTTTTTTTTACAGAAATTCATTACATATAATGCGAATAAAGTGGTACTTATATAGCGCTTTATACCAAAGGTCTCAAAGCGCATCACAATCATTACCCCTGTTCATCAGGTCGTGAGACCATATTTTGCAGTAGCTGGAGATCAGCACATTGTGGTCTCTACCTCCACAGGTAACCATTTATACTTTATACTCCTGGGTGGAGAGAGGCAATTGTAGTAAAGTGTCTTGCCCAAGAACACAAGCACCATGTTCCCTGACAGGGTTCGAACCCACGTACCACGGCACGTGAGTCGAACACAGAAACCATTGGACAACAGCGCTCCCCCTCATACTTTATCTCAATTCAAGCATAAATAAAGTCAACATGTGCTCCTTTCATTTGTATTGCATGTTTCTTACAAGCCACCAATTGGAATGGCATTTAGTTTTGATCCAAGTCTGGATTTAGATTCTGTGCCCCTTATACATGTACACCAGCCAGTCTCTGACAGGCGTGGTCAAGCCGCATATTAGCTTGAAAAGCACGAATAAGGCATGCTCCCAATCAGGGGTTTGGGTGCCAAAGTTCCTAAGATCGGACATGTTTCATCTTTTTGAAGCTGCCCTCTAACGCAGCAGCAGCTTGAGGTCGACCTGGGATTTGCTGGCGCTGCGACGGAACTAGCCTTGGTCAAGGCGTTCGTTGATAGTGTTCATGATGGTACCTGGCTGCCAAAGACATAAACACTATAGCCGCACACTATGCTCTATACGAAGCGCTATCAACGAACGCCTTGACCAAGGCTAGTTCCGTCGTGGCGCTAGCAAGTCGCAGGTCGACCTCAAGCCGGCCTTAGGCCTTCTGGTTGACAAGTTCATAGAAAGGTATGTCCCTGCTACCTGTACAACAAAGTAATCCGTGGTAGCTTCGTCACTCTCTGCTGGATCCCAGCTGACGTAGACGGACACTAGGCCAGCATCGGTCACGGATACAGAGAAGTTGAGGTTAGATGGAGGAGTCGGTAAAACTAAAAAGAGGAACAAAGGAATTCATAAATATTTTTACCTTTTTAAAGCTACAGTCCATCATTTGTAATTTGAGCATTTTGTTCGTTTGAAGCAACAAGAGAGTTCAAAATCTAATGAAGGGTACTGAGCTACTAACCTGATGAAGTTTTAGCTAAGCTTCAGCTGTACATTCCGAGAAAAACAGCATTCTAAGATCTCAATTTCAAATCAAAAGTTACTGAATCATGTTTTGAATTGTTTTGAATTGCAGCTATACGCGACATCGCGCACTGATCCGACGAATTATAACAACCGCGCGCGCGTGTGCGTCGTTCCAATACTTGTGCGCGCTGTGCTGAATAACAAAACGAACTACTAATTTAAATTTTCCTACGGTGCTTCTTAAGAATCACCGTTGGAAATGCCTTCTTTCGTTGATTACTTCAAAATGACAGCTTCCCAGAAAGAATAATTTCGCAGGGAGTTTAGTTCCCTTACTATCTTTCAACCAAGGTTGTTTTTCAGCAATAATTACGCCAGTTACTTTTTGGATGGCTGCAAATGATGGACTATAGCTTTAAGATGTAGTGCTTGATCTAAATGCAGTGGTGAAAATGAAAGTGTGATGAATGTGAAAGCTTCAGATTAGTTTCAATGAGCTGTCAAATCCAGCGAGACAAACATTTTATTGTTGACTTGAGTCACTGACTAGGACTCCAATCCAACTTGAGTCAAAATTCTTTTCTAACACTTCATGACTTGACATTGGAAAAAATAATGATTTGACATTTGGGAAAAATTGACTTGGTTACACCAGTTTCTTGATATTTAGGGATACACGGATTCAGACTCTGTGATAACAGCAGAACTCTTCAGTCAGTCAGATGAGCGTTCTCATTCGTAATGTCAACCATTTAACTTTCCATGGACTTCCTGTGGCACTTAATCACAGCAAAGAAGGTACTTTTAATAACGTACATGTATGTATGTGGGTTCCTCCACAAATGTGGGGTCCAAAAGCATGACATTTTTTAGTCCCTTTTACAATCTCTGACCTTAGCCCAAAAAGAAAATTGTGTTGCCCTCACATGAAAAACATCAGGAGAGTAAGTCAGAAAACTTTCAAATTTGGAACCTTGATTTTATTGGTGTCCTTTTATGTCATTTAGTTTGAAGAAGTGAAAACTTCAGGACACAACACATTCCTTTGTTCGATCCCGTTACTTCTGATTTGAATTGTGATGTGATTTTTTTGACTTACATCACTACAACTCTGAGAAAAACATTTTGAGAATTTCAATTTTCTTCCCTAGCTACCTGGGCATTGGTTGTCACTGTAGCACATGACCTCCCTGTACCCCTCCCCAGGCACCTAGACCCCCCCCCCATAGGCAGGGGAGGGGTCTGAACAATTCCTCCTCTTCATTTCTTGTTCCTATATTTTCATTCCTACCTGGGCATTGGTTGTCATTGTAGCACATGACCGCCCTGTACCCCTCCCCCAGGCACTCAGACCCCCCATAGGCAGGGGAGGGCTCTGAACAATTCCTCCTCTTCATTTCTTGTCCGTCGCCGCACGTAGCTGAGCACTGTGACCACTGACTCCAGGGTGTCCAGGCACCATCGACTATGTTGGAGAAATTTATGTTCAAGGACGCAATAAAACTCCAGAATGTGTTGTGTTTTTGTCAAAACCGCACTTTTATTATTATTATTATTAATAATTTCTGGTAATGAAACCAAGGATTCCTCAAAAGCGCCCTAGGCACTGTAGCTCGCAAGCCTGAAGAAACCTGTGGAGAGAAGACAATGAGAAGAAGTTACAGTTTTAGAGGTGGGAGGAAAAGCCCAGAAGAATATTCTGGGGAAAACCCATGGAATTAGGCAGGGACTGAAAACCCAATCCACATATTGGCCCAGGCGGGATTTGAACCCGGGTCACAGCGGTGGAAGGCGAGGAAAGTACCGCTACGCCAACCTGACTCTCCCATCTTTTAAAGATAATTTACAACATTTGCAAACATAAAAAAAACTACCAAATCATTATGAAATACCTTACATGTACTTGACTGTAAGTGAATAATAGTCTCAAGCATCCTGTGAAATCATGGCACCTGGTGTGCTGTCATTTTCAAGAAAAATCAATATTCGTATAAATTTTCAACAATGGTAGGCCTAGCATCGTTGGAAAAACTGATTTTTATTTTTTTCAAATACTGCCCCATTTAATTTAGTCCCTAATTTGTTTGCAATTTGTTACACATCCGCAAACGGGTGCAAGCCAGCTAGTCTGGTTCCCTGACCTGACAATTCCCCTACGTCTACAAATTTGGTTGAAAGACACTTGTCCCACATCACAACAGTCAACACTTGTATTTGTTATATCATGTGCTTGGATACCGTAATTTCATTGGTCGAGAACGGCCTCGTGTCGAGTCTGTAAAAAGCGTGTACAAAGGTTAACCTCACATATAATGCACGTTGCAGGCCGCGCGTGTAGAACCTGCACGCGCGCTCCAGACCGAGAACTGCGTGCAATGTGCAACTGCTCATAGCTCCGTCCAAAGCCAGCAGTATTATAAAGGGTTACACCGCACTGGCACTGATATAATGTATTTATTGCATCGTAAGTTATAACCATTTATCGTTTTGACTTCTTGGCACGATATAAAAAAAACAATTGTTGGCAATTGTTTGACCATGCATCTTATACAATTAAAATATGTTCTTTCTTCATCTTCTCGAGACAATGCACAATTTTTTTTAAATATTTGAATCGGAAATATGCTGTTTGGACATTCGGTGGCTAACCAAATATTCAATATACCGGTACAATATATTCGACACATGTCAGCCTATAATGACATAATGGTACGGATACCTGGGCATGGGGTGCCAGCACACAAGGTGGATGATTCTATGGGTCCCTGGCAGGGCTGACCGCCATGGCGTGGGCTTGGGTTGGTACAGGCCCGGGTACGGTTGATGATGGCTCCACCACAGGTGACTGGGCATGGCGTCCACTCACCCCAGGAAGAAAAACCACCGTCGACTGTGAAGGTAAAGAGGGGGTTACAGAAATAACGAATCAAAGAAGGTTGAAACAAGAAATGAAAGAAACTTGAGAGGCATTTGAACCTCAGATCTCAGCTATACAGGGTGGTCCAAAAAAACCCGGGATGGCATACTTCCACTACCTTGAGACTCAAACCACCTGTACCAATTGATGGAGAATCCTTTGTGAAGAATTATGATACCAAGATCTCCCGATAAGTCGGTCTAGTAGTTTTTGCTGCAGAGCCTATTTTGTGAAGCACCTTTTTCACATGGGTATTATTACATTACAATCCCTCTATCAATGACAATGTAAGTCAAATCCCTGGGCGTAGTTTAGAAATTCATCGGGACAAAAATAACCCCCAACTTGCTTCACAAAATAGGCTCTAGAACAAAAACAACTGGACCGAATCGGGCGATCTTGGTTTCATTTTTCTTCTAAAAAGATTCTCCATGCATTGGTATTGGTGGCGTGAGACTCAGGGTAGTAGAAGTATGTCATTCCATTTTGGGTTTTTTTTTTACCACCCTGTACAGACTGGATATGAATTTGTGACTGGTGATTGGATAATAGAGGTCCCATTCGGGTAGCTGGCCATGTGCTGTGTCCTCAGGCAAGCCACTTTACACCAATATGCCTCTCTCTCATGGTGGTCAAACTCTGGCAGTGTTTTGCATATCATTCACACTATTTTGTGATACACATTATTCGTCCCCATGGGTTGGGTGGATAGGAATGTGGGTATGCATGAGGAAAATGTTTCGCTTAGAAAACTTCTTGGTTATTTCATGACAAAGAATCTGAGAGTATAACATGGTTGGGGGGGAATAGCTTAAAATTACTGATCCCAAGTTGTCGGCTAATTTTGACTACCTCACAACATGAGGTAGAGGGCGAGTTGTCCAAATTAGCCAACACTAGGGAACCAATATTTTTGCACAACTCACTGTAAAATAAACCATGCTGTATTTGTTTTATTTAAAAGACCTCATACACATTTAGCATTATTAAAATTCCACAAAATTCTGTGGCAAATCTCTCCCAAGTAATGCATATGACCATTTGATGCAATATGACCAATTGGGCAATAGTACGTGTCACCTGTGCAGGGTAGCTGCTTTTTCTTACCTGACAGTTTGAATATCGACCAATGACAGTAGAACTTTTGACTTATGAATATGTATAAGGCATAATAGTAGATATGCAATGAATACTTGACTTTACCTGGGCAGTAGAAGGCAGCACACAACCGTTTCTCTATGTTTGGTCCAACGCAGGGGTTCCCGCCAAACGCCGGGGTGGGGTTGGTGCAGTCTCTAGTCCGCTCGGTCTGTCCTCCCCCGCAGGACTTGGTGCACTGGCTCCATGATGTCCACAGGGAGTAACCACCGTGAACTGAGCATGAAATCAAACATCTTTGAAATGCTAGTTCAGACTTGAATTAAGTGGGATCTCCATGCAAATGAGATGTCCCGAAACATTCGCCAGAGTTGCAATGTAATCCATTTTCACAAATTCACGGTGCAACTTGTTGGCCCTATCTCACAAATTTACATTTGCAGCTTCGTTTTTGCGCTTTATACTTAAAACAGCTAATCAAAAATTGAATACTGTGGAAAAGCAAAATAGGTGTAAGCAACTTTCTATTTTGTTTTGTTTTAATTAACATGAAAAGATGGAAAGATGCCCTGGTCACTATATCAAGAGGGTAAAACTCAAGTTAAGCAACACAGCAAAACTTGAGATGCAACTTCTGTAAAGTGGAAGACAGCGCAGAAGCACAACTGTTTAACATTTCTTAACTGACAAGTGATGCTCCTCACTGCTGGGCGAGTAACCTGAGTTCTCAAGTACTCGCGAGTAGTGTTTGCTACTCGTCCTGACGAGTACTCGTCCTGGCGCAAGTAGGAGAAGGTACACTTGAGTAGCAATTTTGTTTTACAAGTGCTGACTTGGAAAAAAGTAACCACTTTGCGGTTTCTGCGCCAAACTTGTCTTTTGCCCTAATACATCCCCCGCAAGAAAGGAATCACTGCCTCCATCTGTTTCCTTGGGATTCCACTAGCACTCTCAATAAATAAATGTTCAAGTAAACTGAGCCAAAGTTTTGCATGGTAAAGACATCTCAGTGCTGAAGAACGTGGGGTGTTTGCCATGCTGTTTATTAGTAGTAACTTCCTTCTCAGTAAAGTTTATGCCATAGTTTCTGTATTTATGGGAATTTAGTAAACTACTCGCGAGTACTCGAGTACTCTCAAGTAATTTCTCTGCGAGTACTCGGGTAGAAATTCCACAACTCGCCCAGGCCTACTCCTCACACAGACCTTACACCTTTTTTGGCTTTTTTTTTGTTTTAAGGGGTAAAATAAAAACCTCCTGTTTGCTATAATTTTTTTTTTATAAATTCTGAGATGCTCTTCAAACTTTGCCTGACACTACTTACCAGAACATCTATGAGTGTTGCAGATCGTCACCTCCTGCATGCTCCCCTCGCATCTATCCCCACCGTATAGAGGTGACGGGTCGTTGCACAGACGGATGCGGGACGTCGTGCCATTCTCACAAAGTTTGGAGCAAGGGGCCCAGTCCAGCCAACGCCCCCAGTTACCATGAACTGAAGGAAGCAAAAACATCTTTAGTCTAGACACAATCTTACTAATCAGCATTTGGGACATGATTCTCATTCAGCCGATTGTTGCTACGTGATGTCACTCACTCAACTGACAATTCAAGTCAAGTCAAGTAATCTTTGTTATATCCCTCAGGGGTAATTTAAAATGCTCGCGTACACATTCTTGCTGAAAATAGCAAACGTGCGGGCATTTGCGCTGTGTCAATGCGCTTGCACCCATTCACGGATTCGCCAAAATAACAAACCAACTACCAACGAAAATTTCCAAAAATGTGTCAATTGACACATCTTTGGGAATGATCGACCTTCTTTTTATTGTTTTCTTCAAAATGACAGCATGCTAGAAAGAATCATTTCACAGGGAGTTTAGTGCCATTATTACTATCTTTAAACCAAGTAAGCTTTACAACAATAATTTGGTCCGTTAATTCTTGGATAGCTGAACATGATATACTCTACCTTTAAGCTTCTGCTTTATGCCAAGGCAACTCCTGCCCTTTGTTTGAAAGTAAATTCATGAATTATTTTTATATTTGATTTGATTTATTTTCGTCATGTGATATATCAAGTGTTGTCTCCTGTGGTTGCCACTCTCAACCGATGTCATTTTGTCATAGTGAACAGCTAAAGGTATTTCTAACTCTATCTTGACTGTAATCTCTTGACCTCAAGTTGTCTTAGTTCTTTCACTTGCGATTATCAACAGAACCCAGATCCTACTGAAAGAACTGTCACAGACCATCACAAATCTATCCGAGTCCCTTCCCATAGCATATGTACAGGCTGGTCACCAACTACCAGAACCCAGGGTGACCTTGAATACTGCTACAACTTGCGTAGCAGCCATCTTAGAGGGCAATACCTTTGTTTGGCTGGAATAAGCATGAGTGAAACATTTGTGCCTTCATTGTTACTGAGCTAAATCCATCATTGACAGGCACTCACCAGTGCTGGCCCACCACATCTATCAATGTCAGTCAAGGCAAGGTACTCTCAGTTAACAAAACTACCACAGCCTGTCAATTGTACCAATATGAGGCCAGTTTGACAGGCACTCACCAGCGCTGACCCACCACATCTATCAATGTCAGTCAAGGCAAGGTACCCTCAGTTAACATACCTACCACAGCCTGTCAATTGTACCAATATGAGGCCAGTTTGACAGGCACTCACCAGCGCTGACCCACCACATCTATCAATGTCAGTCAAGGCATGGTACCCTCAGTTAACATACCTACCACAGCCTGTCAATTGTACCAATATGAGGCCAGTTTGACAGGCACTCACCAGCGCTGACCCACCACATCTATCAATGTCAGTCAAGGCATGGTACCCTCAGTTAACATACCTACCCCAGCCTGTCAATTGTACCAATATGAGGCCAGTTTGACAGGCACTCACCAGTGCTGACCCACCACATCTATCAATGTCAGTCAAGGCATGGTACCCTCAGTTAACATACCTACCACAGCCTGTCAATTGTACCAATATGAGGCCAGTTTGACAGGCACTCACCAGCGCTGACCCACCACATCTATCAATGTCAGTCAAGGCATGGTACCCTCAGTTAACATACCTACCCCAGCCTGTCAATTGTACCAATATGAGGCCAGTTTGACAGGCACTCACCAGTGCTGGCCCACCACATCTATCAATGTCAGTCAAGGCAAGGTACTCTCAGTTAACAAAACTACCACAGCCTGTCAATTGTACCAATATGAGGCCAGTTTGACAGGCACTCACCAGCGCTGACCCACCACATCTATCAATGTCAGTCAAGGCAAGGTACCCTCAGTTAACATACCTACCACAGCCTGTCAATTGTACCAATATGAGGCCAGTTTGACAGGCACTCACCAGCGCTGACCCACCACATCTATCAATGTCAGTCAAGGCATGGTACCCTCAGTTAACATACCTACCACAGCCTGTCAATTGTACCAATATGAGGCCAGTTTGACAGGCACTCACCAGCGCTGACCCACCACATCTATCAATGTCAGTCAAGGCATGGTACCCTCAGTTAACATACCTACCCCAGCCTGTCAATTGTACCAATATGAGGCCAGTTTGACAGGCACTCACCAGTGCTGACCCACCACATCTATCAATGTCAGTCAAGGCATGGTACCCTCAGTTAACATACCTACCACAGCCTGTCAATTGTACCAATATGAGGCCAGTTTGACAGGCACTCACCAGCGCTGACCCACCACATCTATCAATGTCAGTCAAGGCATGGTACCCTCAGTTAACATACCTACCCCAGCCTGTCAATTGTACCAATATGAGGCCAGTTTGACAGGCACTCACCAGCGCTGACCCACCACATCTATCAATGTCAGTCAAGGCATGGTACCCTCAGTTAACATACCTACCACAGCCTGTCAATTGTACCAATATGAGGCCAGTTTGACAGGCACTCACCAGCGCTGACCCACCACATCTATCAATGTCAGTCAAGGCATGGTACCCTCAGTTAACATACCTACCCCAGCCTGTCAATTGTACCAATATGAGGCCAGTTTGACAGGCACTCACCAGCGCTGACCCACCACATCTATCAATGTCAGTCAAGGCATGGTACCCTCAGTTAACATACCTACCACAGCCTGTCAATTGTACCAATATGAGGCCAGTTTGACAGGCACTCACCAGTGCTGACCCACCACATCTATCAATGTCAGTCAAGGCATGGTACCCTCAGTTAACATACCTACCACAGCCTGTCAATTGTACCAATATGAGCCCAGTTTGACAGGCACTCACCAGCACTGACCCACCACATCTATCAATGTCAGTCAAGGCATGGTCCCCTCAGTTAACATACCTACCACAGCCTGTCAATTGTACCAATATGAGGCCAGTTTGACAGGCACTCACCAGCACTGACCCACCACATCTATCAATGTCAGTCAAGGCATGGTACCCTCAGTTAACATACCTACCACAGCCTGTCAATTGTACCAATATGAGGCCAGTTTGGCAGGCACTCACCAGCGCTGACCCACCACATCTATCAATGTCAGTCAAGGCATGGTACCCTCAGTTAACATACCTACCACAGCCTGTCAATTGTACCAATATGAGGCCAGTTTGACAGGCACTCACCAGCGCTGACCCACCACATCTATCAATGTCAGTCAAGGCATGGTACCCTCAGTTAACATACCTACCACAGCCTGTCAATTGTACCAATATGAGGCCAGTTTGACAGGCACTCACCAGCACTGACCCACCACATCTATCAATGTCAGTCAAGGCATGGTCCCCTCAGTTAACATACCTACCACAGCCTGTCAATTGTACCAATATGAGGCCAGTTTGACAGGCACTCACCAGCACTGACCCACCACATCTATCAATGTCAGTCAAGGCATGGTACCCTCAGTTAACATACCTACCACAGCCTGTCAATTGTACCAATATCAGGCCAGTTTGACAGGCACTCACCAGTGCTGACCCACCACATCTATCAATGTCAGTCAAGGCATGGTACCCTCAGTTAACATACCTACCACAGCCTGTCAATTGTACCAATATCAGGCCAGTTTGACAGGCACTCACCAGCGCTGACCCACCACATCTATCAATGTCAGTCAAGGCATGGTACCCTCAGTTAACATACCTACCACAGCCTGTCAATTGTACCAATATGAGGCCAGTTTGACAGGCACTCACCAGCGCTGACCCACCACATCTATCAATGTCAGTCAAGGCATGGTACCCTCAGTTAACATACCTACCACAGCCTGTCAATTGTACCAATATGAGGCCAGTTTGACAGGCACTCACCAGCGCTGACCCACCACATCTATCAATGTCAGTCAAGGCATGGTACCCTCAGTTAACATACCTACCACAGCCTGTCAATTGTACCAATATGAGGCCAGTTTGACAGGCACTCACCAGCACTGACCCACCACATCTATCAATGTCAGTCAAGGCATGGTACCCTCAGTTAACATACCTACCACAGCCTGTCAATTGTACCAATATGACGCCAATTTACAGAACTGTTAAAACCTGTCACCTGACAGATTTTGATGGACATCTCTCTCCATGTTGTGAATAGTTGTGAATACTAAAGTTCCCAGCTCTACTTACTTGGACACTGAACATCACCGTTACAGATCTGGTGACTCTCATTGCTTCCCGAGCAATCCAGACCGCCGTGCTTAGGGACGGGGTTGGTGCAGTTGCGACGGCGGTAGATGGTTGCCCCTCCGCAGGATACCGGGCAAATCGGCCACTCTGTCCACTCGGTGAAACCTCCGTCAACTGATGGTTATGGAAATATATAAAAAATTGTTTTAACAAGAGTAGGTAAACATAGTCAAACTTTGAAAAGGCAAGTTAATGAGTTAGTTAAGAAGAGCAAGGGAATACCAGCATACATATAATGCATTAACAGATAACTTTTCAGAAGTATTGTCGGTTAGGGCTGAGTCAATTCGAATAATTGAATATTCGAATATTCGACCTTCCAATCGATCGAATATTCGAATATTCGGTTATTTGGCCATTCCAAATTCCCTCAAAAGCAAAAATATGCCATACATGTACATGTAGTCAACGTACGTGCGCACGTCAGCATGCCATGCATGATTTCTTCACAGATAAGTCAGGTATTTGACAACAATCAGTTGTTCTTCAGTCGTCAGTAATTTAAAGATTAACAATAACCAGAGAAGCTAGAGTGAAGGATTCCTTGTTTGCATGGGGGACGTATTAAGCCGTGAACCCCAAACACGGCGGGTGGCGTCAGCTATTGTGACTCTCCGACCCTTAACTCGCAAACAGGAACCGAGCATATCTATTACTGGAAGCTTCTTGAAGTCTACAAAACGGTGTACTTCCTAGTCACAGTATTGAGGATAAAAAAAAATCACTTTTATAATAATAACTCGCACTTTTGTCACCAAGAATTGAGGAAATGATTTTATATCATTTTAAATAAACTTATTCTCAACAACCAAAAACTCCAAGAAAAAAACCTATGATATTTAATGTCTTTATGGTCTTTGAATTGTAAATGCATATTTAAGTTTATGCAAATAATGGGCGTGGGCGCGGCATACACACGCCCCAGCTTGACACGTGCAAAGCAGTATTTCCTTGTTTGCCCACAGGGGATATATTATAAGCTGTGTACCCAAAACACGAAGGGTGACATTTCAGCAAAAAAAAAAAAAAAAATCGCCAGCCGAGCTCCAGCGGGCGCATTGTTGGCGGGCTAATTAGGGCACAGGTGCGCTGACCCGGTTCTTTTGTCTGGCTAAGTGCGTGCTCTGGAGATAACTTTCTAACAAATAGGCCACTAAAAGGTTTGGATATTCCAACTTGCAACATTTTGATACATTTTGTCTAGCTGTGGTTTTCTATGCTGGGAATCAGGAGTACGGTGCGGTGAGTTGACCGCAAAGTCTGTCTGGCGAAATAAATGAGAGCTCTTTTGAGTTTGAAATCCTCTCTGTTGTCTGCCCTTTTTCTTGCGTTTTGCTCGACTTGGAGGACATAAGCCAGAGGTTTCCGCTATTATTACTGAAAGTATAATTGCTGAACTAGTTTTTGAAGTGTTTATGTATGTTTTATTTGTGCAAATATTGGGTGCAATTAGCAGACTAACCCAGCGAACAAAGCTGACGGACAGCGAACGAAAATGTGTTCGATAAAAGGGTGCTCTGATCAGTTGAGAGAACTAGATTATTTTGTACATGTACATGTATATAATTACGGAGGCATTGAGGCGAACATCTAACAGCCATAATAAATTTACCCCTAAAAGTAAACAAGAAATTCTTTTAGAAAAATCCCAGAGTCCGTAACGTAAATGAACCAAGGTTTTCAAAACGTTTTAATGTAATGTTGGGGTTCATGACAAGTTTTCTACAACACCGCCACGTGCTGTGGGCAGCATACTGCGTGCAAGGCGATTCCCTATAACCACGTGCATTCGACACGATTGAACAGGCGATGGAAAACTTTGGGGGGAATTGGCTTCGCTGTATCAGTGTAATGTACCGCTTCTTGTGCGACCCTGTGCGAGCAGTACGTCCTCAAAATAAGTACATGAAAACGAAAAATACAAAGGCCCACACAGAAAAAAGAAATCAAGTTCTTTGCATGAGATTGCAGAGGTCTTCTACATCAATGTTGGCATGCCATTTTCGCGATGTCAATAGCCGATCTAGTAAGCCCCTCCCACTGCGCACGTGGGCAAATTAACACGTGCTCCTCTCCAATGCCACGCTGCATTTTCCTATGCTGCACACATGTACATGTAACACCAACGCGCGGGGAAACTTGCCAGGATCGCATCGGGGAAAACAGCGGCGGTTTTCTTTTGAAAGTAGGGATTGTAAGTAGGACAACAACAAACAAAAATACGGACAACGGAAACGTTACTACTCATGCTAGAAGTTTGATATGAAAAGGTGTCAGGAAGTGTTTTGTGAAGACATGAAAGACAAAATGTCTTGTTTATCTTGTCGGAAGCATCAGCGATTGGTTTTGCAGTCCGGCGTTAAAAAAATGGGTTGGCTTTACTGCAAGCACTCCCAAAGCAGAAGTAATATATGTATGGCATTATTGCTTGGCATATATACAAGCTACTTTTATGGGTTTTTTTGGCAGCAACTTGAAACTTAACTTTGAGAATACACTTTTGTTGTTAAAAAAAAAGTTTTTTCCACCTTTTTATTTCATTGCATATCACCACCGAATATTCTTATTCGAAAATAAATATTCGAATATTCGATTATCGATCGAATAACCGAATATTCGAATATTCGGCACAGCCCTATTGTCGGTGCTATTCAACAAATTCTTTTCTTTTTTTTTCCTGACAAATTTCCAATTGGTATATTTTGATTTTATAAAAATTAAACATTTTTTAGTCTTTTGTGGGCATCTGCAACTCACTGGAAAAACCCTTTATTTTTGGCTGCTTTTTCGCACAAACAGATATCAGCCCTGAAAGTAAACTGGTTCCTGATAAAGGGGCCACAACCAGTCTAGTTTTTAAGAACTGAACTACAGCCAGGGCGAATATACTTCAAAATTTGTTACGTAATCATCCAAAATTAAACATAGGCTGATACTTATGATCAATGTTTCATTCAAAATTAAAAATAATTTTTTTTGGCATTGCTAGTAAAACAGCACTTTAGAAAATATACATGTTTCGGAGCAAACTCTTAAAAGCACAGCTGGTAAATCTCCAATATTTAACCGACACTGCAAATGTTTCCTTACTTGGGCACATCTGGAAGTTGCATCCCTTCACTTCCATTTCCATCTGCTCGCCAATGTCCTCCTCGGTCCAGTTGCCATGGCAATAGGCTCCACCATGAGCGGGGGCCGGGTCAGCACAGGTGCGTTGCCTGGACTGCATACCGCCCTCACAGGACACGCTGCACTCGCTCCAGGACGACCACTGCGTCCAACTGCCGTTTACTGCCAAATAAGGTTGTCAAAACAAATATCCATTTGCTATCGAAATAACTTCATATAGTTTTGTGCGATAAGCTGTTTTCAATTTTCCATACGCCTTAAAGGGAAGATACAACATTTGCAAACATTACAAAACGAAATGATCGAATTATCACTAAATACCTTGCTGGATTGTTAGGAAATGACAGTCTAAAGCATCCTGTAAATCATGGCTCCTGGTGTGCTGACATTTTCAAGAAAAATTTTATTTTTCCAACGCTGGTCGGCCGACCAGCATTGGAGAAAACTTGCCTTTTTTTCAAAACTGCTCCTAATTGTTCATAATTAGTTATTCCGTGTTTTCTTTGCAATTGATTACACAACTGTGAAGGGGTACAAGCCTACTAGACTGACTCTCTGATCTTACAATTCCCCAAAGTCTATAAATTCCTGGTTTCATCTTAAGTGGGGTCTGGGAACCCCATGGTTTTCTTGGTTTTCCAACATCTACGAGTCCAAAACATGAAACAAGTCATTTTAACAATATTTGCTAACACATACTAATCCTCCAAATCCATTTATTTCTGAAAATTGCAGCAAAAGCAAATGTTGTACATTCCCTTTAAAATGACACATGCACCTATGGAAGCAGCTGGTCGAGTGTGGCTAAGTGGTTAGGGTTCGTGACTCATGATCATAGGGTCAGGGGTTCGAATCAGCTGCTGGTCATATGTTGCGTCCTTGGGCAAGCCACTTCATCCCCCACTTGCCTCTCTCCACCCAGGAGTACAAATGGGTACCGGTGTAGCGTGAATTTACGTTTCTATGAAATTCGGACTCATTGGTAATACCGCACATGCGTAAGTATGGTTATTAGGAAAGTGACCGGTCACGTGAGAGGGATTAACCAATAATAGGGAAAAGGGGTCCGATTTTCATAGGAGACGGATTTTCATGTGCCGGCATTAGCTAGGGAATAGCCTGCAATGGGCTGGCATCCCATCCAGGGAGAATGGAAATATTCTGAGTCTTTTGAAACCGGAAATAAACACCGGCCTGATGGGCAACATTTGGCTCGTGACGGACTTTACTTTTTTATTTTACTATGGAAGTAGCTGAAGCCAAATCCCATAGGCGCGTGTGCTACTGCTACCCATTTACAGCGTAAAACTGATAAATGTGACTGAATTGTGAATTAGAGAAAAAAAAGAACCATTGTCATTAACAAAGCCATTTTTGCTACAATAAATGCATGGAATCTAACAGTAACACTGGTTGAAACAAAACACGCAAACATTTAATTGCACCACAATATTTGGAAATGATTCTCAGAAAAATATGGAGATTTCTTTATTTTTCAAATGTCTGCAAAGATGTATGTCACAAGGGACAATTTGGAATTTTGAAGGAAAAATAATACCACCATAAACAACTGGGAGAATTTATACGCCAGTTACAAATTTGTGCAAGTACTTGCAGATTTACGCACCACGTAACTTTTATGAAATGGTCATAACTTTGCTTTACAATTTTTTCAAGCAACAGAATGTTATCTAGTTCAGATCGCACTTTTGCAAGGCACGTACGTTTCCTGAAAATGGACGGCAAAACATAACAAGGCAAATCAATCCGAGTAAAGCTGGTCTCAACGCACAAACTTCTATTCACTTGCTTTTGAGTGTTACCTCCCAAGTGAAAGTTGGAACAAAATCACTCAGGTGGGTTTCGAACCCACGACCTCCTGCTTTCTATGTCATACCACTCAACCACCAAGCTTGCGGGATCAGTCAGCTGGTTGGAATCTGATGTAACAGCGGGTACTGCAATGAAACTACTCCAACTGATCCACCTCCAACTGATGGTATTAGACATCGATCTGCACTAGAAAGCAGGAGGTCATGGGTTCGAGTCCCAGCCAAGTGATTTTTTCCAACTTTCACTTGGGAGGTTACACACTGAGTATACAGTGTTTATACATCGGTGAAGGGCAAAACCTAATATTGATTTACATCACCGGACGCAAATTTGATCTGATGAACACATGATTCTGAAGGGCTGGAACGTCTTTTCCTGCATGTGGTCCACACAATTGGCCGGATTTATCCCATTCAGTGGCGTAACAGGGTAATCCTATACAATAGCACTCCCCAGCTCCCAAGTGATGGTCAGTGAGTCAGTCAGTCATTGAGATAGGTACAAAGAGGGCACTTAGGCAGGCCCTGTGGGCCAGCAAAAGCCAGGGATCATCTCTAGCCTACCTGGGCAAGGGTTATCACTGCAGAGGTAGGTTTCCTGCGCATCGCCTGGGCAGGCATCCCCTCCATGATGTGGCACAGGGTTGGTACATTCCCTGTCTCGTAGCAGCTCAAAGCCACCACATGTGACTGGGCACTCTGGCCAGTCCGACCAGGCGGACCAACCACCGTGAACTGTGAAGAGGGATTCCAAGATGGTAAGTTTAAATTTTGATAATTACTATCATTACGTACACAAATATAACATGGTTTGAGGGTGCATAGTCAATATACGCTCCCAAAGGTATAGGAAGTTGACAAACTAGTTCCCTCTGCTGCCAATACCTCGGGAAGCTAATATCGATTATTATTTATATTAGGCTTCCAGTGATAAAAATAAATCAGCGCAATGTATGCTTCCGTAAAAACTGCAATATTAGGCCCAAAAAATTTTTTTTCGGTCTCTGGTCAGACCAAAGTTCCGGAATTGACGTGGCCACGCGGCTTTTTTTTTGGGGGGGGGGCTTTTTTTTTTTTTTTTCAAGCTTGGATTGTACAGACAAGGTAGGTACTATTTTGCTTTTTTGGTGTCCTCATGTACATTGGTGTCCTCCATAATTTGCCTTGGTGCTTTCGATCATTTGCCTTGGTGCACTAGGCAGGCCCTGTTGGTGCTCTTTGGTAAAAAAAAATTGAGGAGGTGCAGAAATAGAGGGCGCTGTTGGAGCTACCACGGAACATTTTGGAGAAAAAAAAAGATCGACGCGCATGATTAAAATCGACGCGCGCGCTGACCAGAGACCGACTTATTTTTTTTTTGGCCTTATGTCAGTAAAAATACCTGGATGACTGCAATATTGTTTTTGATATTGTCCTCATCCAATGTCCAAATTTCTTGTCTAAAACTACTGGTTTCTTTTTTTTTTTGGCTTTTTTTTTAACACAGGGCATATCTAGACCTTAACAGCTAGAAACATTATTGATTAATAGAGACTGCTGATGGCTTTGTTTGGACGCCCTTTTCAAACACAGTCTATTGTTACTGCCTGTTCCAAAAGACTTATATGAATACTTAATGAGAAATGAACAGAAAAAAAACTCAAGCATTACAATCCAATGGTTTTGGGAACCTACTTGGGCAAGGAAACATATTGCAGTCGTTCCATTCTTGACTGGGGTCGGTCACAGGACACGGAGTCCCTCCCCATATAGTGGCCGGGTTGGTGCACGTACGGATCCGGGAGGTATTCCCCCCTCCACAGCTAGTGGAACAGACTGCCCAAGTCGACCAGGTCGTCCAAGCACCATCAACTGCAGGAAAATAACAATCCAAAAATGTTAATTTGCGTTTCTCATGCTCATCAACAAATTCTCTTCTTTTTGTTTCTTAACTCCATACTGTCTTTTCCTAAGTACTGGACCAAGTCCACCATAATCCATCAATCACACTGCTTCCAATACATGCTCTGTTTTAGGCTTCCAGGCCCAAGTCCATCATACTCCATCAATATTTAGTCAAACCAGGCCTGCAGGACCATATCCCCCAAAATCCACCAAAGTGGGGGATGGATTTTGATGGAGTTGGGGGGGGGGGGTTAGGGTTAATAAATTTGTATGTTTAATTCCAACTATAAAACACATTTTGGGTTTTTGTGGGCGTCATTGTTTGGGGGGGGGGGGCACAAACAGATCTGCCTTAAAAGACCTTGTCCATACTGATTGTGGGGCTTGAACATCTATCCCACAAGAACAGAATTATTTTCAGGCCTCATCAAAATTTGTAAAGTGATAATTCAAAAACTACATATGGGTCAAACTTTTTGGTCGATGGTTCATTCAAAAGTGAAGAACGTTTGTATTGCTAGAAGATAGCAATTTAGAAAAGGAACATCTACTGTTCAGGATGAAAATCGAAAATAGCACGGGGAATTTTCATACAAGTTTGAACAAAATGTATCATTTCTGAAATAATAATATTGATATGGAATTCTTATGCACATATATCAGTCATGCGCTCTACAAACTTTATGTTTTTCCTTATAGGAATTTTAACATAACTTGGCGGTCTATATTTCTGTTGCTGTACTAAGTATCCTCCAAATGTTGCATACCATTAGAAAGCTCTTATTCTACAAAATTCAAAATACAAATATATAAATTCTTTAAAATTCAACTTTTTGCACAATATGTGATATGACAGGTCAAAAATGGTGCAGACAAGGAAAATTTTCGAACTCCTGACTTAATAGCCAATGATATTTACCGGGGCATCCATTGGTGCTGCACGCTCTCTCCTCATTGGGCGATCCCGCGCAGTCGTCGCCGTTAAACAACGGCGGGGGATTAGTGCAGATGCGATAGCGGGTCTCAATGTCGCCCCCACAGGTGATTGGGCATAGAGTCCATGTGGACCAGGGGGCCCAGCCTCCGTGTACTGAATGGAGAGTAATGATGAATGGATGAATGGATGAAAAGAGATTAATAAAATGCTGGATAAACAAAATTCTGTTACGATATAAAAAGCCACATTCACAAGCACCCCCTCATCACTCGGTTGCAAAGAGAGAGTTAGAACGCATTGCCATAGGGCTGTCCCAAGTATACCGAATATTCGATCATCAACGGAATATTCTGATACCTTTTTGCCGGTTGGAATATTCGAAAACAAAAAGACTACCCACACGACTGTGATGTTATTTTATCGTAAAGTTCGGTGCTTTATAGTCAGGTGCCATTACAGTGGAACGCCGCTATACCGAACAAGGCTATACCGAACATTCAGCTATACCGGCCGAACATCATCCTTGACTCCCAATTTTTGTGTACAAAACGTACCGAACATTGCTGTTGAAAAATGTCAACTTCCCCAAGGAATAGAAGGAAAAACCACCCAAGTAAGCTCCAAAAAACTGTGTAATTACCTGATTCAATAGTCACACGTGTTCAAAGTCATCTTTCAGTAACTATACCAGGGACTACAAGGTTAAGTTTTGCTTACACTTACAGAATATTGTAAAGATGATTGGACAAGTTCAGGGAATCAGCGCGCGGTTTGCAAATGCCACTTGACTATAAACAATGGTCAAATGAGGGCGCCACTAATGTGTGAAATACCACAAGCTGGTGAGTATCGGCTTCAAATCGCTATACCAAACGATCACTATTACAAACAATTTCTGTGGATCCCGCGATGTTTGTTATAGCGGTGTTCCACTGTATAGTCAGGTGTTCATTGTACCCATCCTTTTAGCAGGTTTAAAACCCTTGACTATTATATAATACTTGCTGCGCAACACTCCAGTGGCCCATATTTGCAATAGGCAAACTTTAACTGGCACACTCTGCATGCAACTTTTGACCGGCGTGGCACGTAGTTGCAGGTGGCAGTTTCAAATATCCAAATATTCGGTCAAACAGAGTTTCAAGCATTTGAATGCTAAATAATTATTCAAAAATGAACAGCCCTACGTTGTCACAGTAGCCTGGCACTCACACAAAGTTTAAGTTTACTCGGTTTGTTAAAAATTAACGGTGCATACTTTGCGCCATCATAAGCGCATGAACCAGTGCGCATCTAGAGCCAATGTTTCCCTCAAAAGCGCCCTCTACGTTTATGCACGGAGTCTATAACCTTCAAAAGTCTATAATGTGTAGGAACACCAGTAGGTAACGTTATGAGTTTTCACTGTATTGTATGACTGATTCTTTAATACCGAGAGACGATGACTTTCAAACTACGTGGGTAAGTTCAGGCAAATGCGTACACAATTGTCCAAGCCAGATCTCAGGGAGGTTTTGGGTCGGTTGGGTCTCTGGTCAGTTTTTGCTTGTTTTTTACTGGGTTAAGTCAGGGGAGTTCAGATCGGTTTCGGTTCGGATTCGGTTAAATTGATAACGTTTCGGATCGGTTTGGCCTGGTCAACCCACCTCGATGCACATTAGTTCTGACCCTTTTGGTTATTCTCGCATCTTTCTTTTCAATTCTATACAGAAGAGAATTTGATTCAGTCCTTCCTTGCTTAAGGCAAAACCTTATGTTCTGAATATGCATTCTCATGATACTTTCTGCAGAGTCTATACAGACCATATCACAGGTTTGAAAGTTGCATTTTATGAGAACCTCGCAATAATGTAAGAGTCAAGAAATAAAACCCCTAAAGGTTAGAAAAGTATAAGGTTATATAAGAAATGAGAAATGCAGGGGTGTGAGTGGCCACTTATAAAAATAGCTGAAAATAGCTGAAATAGCTGAAAAAAAGGTGTAATTAAGCTGACATTTGGAAAACTCCTATACTTTTGTACACAGCAAGTGATGGAAAAAGCTGAAAAAAAAGCTGAAATCCATATACTTTTGTACACAGCAAGTGATGGAAAAAGCTGAAAAAAAAGCTGAAATCCAAAACAAAAAAAGCTGAAATCAGCTTTTAAGCTGAGATTTCACACCCCTGGAAATGATTGCCTTACCTGGGCAGATGTGCGTATTGCATATCCTGGTTTCATTGCTCGGCCCACGGCAATACTCGCCATGCGGTGGGGTAGGGGGTGGGTTACTGCAGGTATGGTTACGCATCTCAAGACCCGTCTCACACTCCTTACTGCAGCTACTCCATGCACTCCACTCTGACCAACCCCCGTCATCTGATGACCAACGCGACAAGAAAAGTATAAAGTCCAGTCCATCACAAGTCAAATCATGAAGTCAATCACAGAGCGATATATTAAAGCTAGAGTCCATCATTTGCAGCCATCCGAAAATTTCTGGCGTAATTATTGTGGAAAAACAAACTTGGTTGAAAGATAGTAAGGGAACTAAACTCCCTGTGAAATTATTCTTTCTGGGAAGCTATCATTTTCAAGTAATCAACGAAAGAAGGCATTTCCAACGGTGATTCTTAAGAAGCACCGTAGGAAAATTTAAATTAGTAGTTCGTTTTGTTATTCAGCGCAGCGCGCACAAGTATTGGAACGACGCACACGCGCGCGCGATTGTTATAATTCGTCGGATCAGTGCGCTACGTCGCGTATAGCTGCAATTCAAAACAATTCAAAAACATGATTCAGTAACTTTTGATTTGAAATTGAGATCTTAGAATGCTGTTTTTCTCGGAATGTACAGCTGAATCTTAGCTGAAACTTCATCAGGTTAGTTGTTCAGTATCCTTCATTAGATTTTGAACCCTTTTGTTGCTTCAAACGAACAAAATGCACAAATTACAAATGATGGACTATAGCTTTAAGACGGCTCGATTTATGAGGACATTAACTTTGTACCCCACAATTCCTTTGCACGGTATACAGTGAAAACAGCAAGTTTTAAGGTACACTTTTATGTCAACGTTTATTTTCTACTTTGTAATGAATTGTTCCAACTATTATCATTTCGTATCAATAGGCCCTGCCTATTTCTAGGGCTGAGTCAATTCGAATAATTGAATATTCGAATATTCGACCTTCCAATCGATCGAATATTCGAATATTCGGTTATTTGGCCATTCTAAATTCCCTCAAGAGCAAAAATATGCCATACATGTACATGTAGTCAACGTACGTGCGCACGTCAGCATGCCATGCATGATTTCTTCACAGGTAAGTCAGGTATTTGACAACAATCAGTTGTTCTTCAGTCGTCAGTAATTTAAAGATTAACAATAACCAGAGAAGCTGGAGTGAAGGATTCCTTGTTTGCATGGGGGACGTATTAAGCCGTGAACCCCAAACACGGCGGGTGGCGTCAGCTATTGTGACTCTCCGACCCTTAACTCGCAAACAGGAACCGAGCATATCTATTACTGGAAGCTTCTTGAAGTCTACAAAACGGTGTACTTCCTAGTCACAGTATTGAGGATAAAAAAAAATCACTTTTATAATAACTCGCACTTTTGTCACCAAGAATTGAGGAAATGATTTTATATCATTTTAAATAAACTTATTCTCAACAACCAAAAACTCCAAGAAAAAAACATATGATATTGAATGTCTTTATTTAATGAAATGAAATATGGGTCTTTGAATTGTAAATGCATATTTAAGTTTATGCAAATAATGGGCGTGGGCGCGGCATACACACGCCCCAGCTTGACACGTGCAAAGCAGTATTTCCTTGTTTGCCCACAGGGGATGTATTATAAGCTGTGTACCCAAAACACGAAGGGTGACATTTCAGCAAAAAAAAAAAAAAATCGCCAGCCGATCTCCGGCGGGCGCATTGTTGGCGGGCTAATTAGGGCACAGGCGCGCTGACCCGGTTCTTTTGTCTGGCTAAGTGCGTGCTCTGGAGATAACTTTCTAACAAATAGGCCACTAAAAGGTTTGGATATTCCAACTTGCAACATTTTGATACATTTTGTCTAGCTGTGGTTTTCTATGCTGGGAATCAGGGGTACGGTGCGGTGAGTTGACCGCAAAGTCTGTCTGGCGAAATAAATGAGAGCTCTTTTGAGTTTGAAATCCTCTCTGTTGTCTGCCCTTTTTCTTGCGTTTTGCTCGACTTGGAGGACATAAGCCAGAGGTTCCCGCTATTATTACTGAAAGTATAATTGCTGAACTAGTTTTTGAAGTGTTTATGTATGTTTTATTTGTGCAAATATTGGGTGCAATTAGCAGACTAACCCAGCGAACAAAGCTGACGGACAGCGAACGAAAATGTGTTCGATAAAAGGGTGCTCTGATCAGTTGAGAGAACTAGATTATTTTGTACATGTACATGTATATATTTACGGAGGCATTGAGGCGAACATCTAACAGCCATAATAAATTTACCCCTAAAAGTAAACAAGAAATTCTTTTAAAAAAATCCCAGAGTCCGTAACGTAAATGAACCAAGGTTTTCAAAACGTTTTAATGTAATGTTGGGGTTCATGACAAGTTTTCTACAACACCGCCACGTGCTGTGAGCAGCATACTGCGTGCAAGGCGATTCCCTATAACCACGTGCATTCGACACGATGGAAAACTTTGGGGGAATTGGCTTCGCTGTATCAGTGTAATGTACCGCTTCTTGTGCGACCCTGTGCGAGCAGTACGTCCCTTAAAATAAGTACATGAAAACGGAAAATACAAAGGCCCACACAGAAAAAAGAAATCAAGTTCTTTGCATGAGGTTGCAGAGGTCTTCTACATCGATGTTGGCATGCCATTTTCGCGATATCAATAGCCGATCCAGTAAGCCCCTCCCACTGCGCACGTGGGCAAATTAACACGTGCTCCTCTCCAATGCCACGCTGCATTTTCTGCATATGCTGCACAAATGTACATGTAACACCAACGCGTGGGGAAACTTGCCAGGATCGCATCGGGGAAAAACAGCGGCGGTTTTCTTTTGAAAGTAGGGATTGTAAGTAGGACAACAACAAACAAAAATACGGACAACGGAAACGTTACTACTCATGCTAGAAGTTTGATATGAAAAGGTGTCAGGAAGTGTTTTGTGAAGACATGAAAGACAAAATGTCTTGTTTATCTTGTCGGAAGCATCAGCGATTGGTGTTGCAGTCTGGCGTTAAAAAAATGGGTTGGCTTTACTGCAAGCACTCCCAAAGCAGAAGTAATATATGTATGGCATTATTGCTTGGCATATACGTGTATACAAGCTACTTTTATGGGGTTTTTTGGCAGCAACTTGAAACTTAACTTTGAGAATACACTTTTGTTGTTAAAAAAAAAAGTTTTTTTCACCTTTTTATTTCATTGCATATCACCACCGAATATTCTTATTCGAAAATAAATATTCGAATATTCGTTTATCGATCGAATAACCGAATATCCGAATATTCGGCACAGCCCTACCTATTTCTTCCTGGAGCGTGCAAAACTGCCCGAGCATGATATAGGTTTTACCTGTTTATAGATTCCTCAGTGAATCTAATAAAATGTAGTACAGTTGTTAACGGATTACGCAATGAAGTACAGTTGAAGATTAACTTCAGGATAATTTAGGCAGGATGCCGTGAAATTGAGGAGTGGTATCTTCAACACATTCAAGGCAAGTGTTCAGAGTTGCAATAGTGGAAATTGCTCATATTATTTGCATAGAGGAAACACATACCTTCACAGCGATCAACGTAGCAATCTCCCATACTCCAATTCAGTCCAACGCAGTCTCTGCCACCATGCAGCGCCGGGGGGAAATTACAGAGCCTGGTACGTGTGTGGTTGCCTCCTGACCCACAGGGCTTGGAGCAGTTACTCCATGCACCCCACGGACCCCAGCTAGCATCGACTATCAACCAAAAACAACCCAACTCATAATTGTATTTTACCTCTCTGATAATTGGAAAAAAGGTCATAAATGAGGTTTAGAAGCAGTAGTTATAATCTGGAGAGACAGTTAACGACAGGGCTGCCAACTTTGAGCGAGAGCTGAGAGTGAGAATTTGGCAATGGAGCTTGATCAGAAGTAACCATGCTAATGCGAGCACGAAGCCCTAACGGTGTGGGTCCGGGGCCCGCTGAAGGGGCCCGCTAAAGGGCCCCGAAAAATTTGGATTCTGAGATGCTCTGTGGTGCGATCTGAGGCAAGTTCTGACCACTTTAACCAATTTTTCAGACTGGCCAGTCTGGAGAAGCTGCTAGCTTAGGCAGTAAAATGTCACTAATTTGCGAGCCACATCTTCACAAAATTCTTATTGGATTTGTCTAAAAGAACCTTCAGAAATATTCTGACAAACAATCCAGATGAACATTATTCAAAGGTTGAAAAACAATTATGTTTGCCCCAAAAAATTCATTCAGCTTCAGTCAGGGAGTGACTGACCAGGGCATGGGGCCTCAATGCAGCTTTCTCCGCCAGTCTCGGACCCCACGCAGTAGTAGCCACCGAAGGCTGGGGCAGGGTTATCACAGGTACGCTGGCGCTGACGAAAACCCCAGCCACAGGACTGGGAACAGTCAGTCCAGGCAGACCATGGCGACCAGCCGCCATTACCTGAAAAGATCAAAGACATGCAGAGAAGGAAAGATTTTCATTTATTTTTGGTGGAGTTTGAGGTCATGGGTTTAATTTGACCCAATATGTGAATTTTCTCGCAATCAGCTGTTTTCTTAAAGCTACAGTCCATCATTTGCAGCTATCCAAAAAGTAACTGATGTAATTATTGTTGAAAAGCATACATAGTAATGGGACTAAACTCCCTGTGAAATTATTCTTTCAGGCAAGCTGTCATTTTGAAAAAATCAGTGACAGAACCTGTCATCAATGATGAGTCTAAAGACGCATTCTTGGCAATTTCCGTTTCCGCACCAATGCACAAAAACTGTGGTTCCTGTCACGTCCGCAAAAGGCGAATAGCTGCAAATAATTTGATGACGTCCGGATTTACCAAGGTGTGATTGGACACTCCACATATTAGCCCCGCCTACATTATCTGTATTCGCATACGAGGTCGTGCGCTAGAAATCCAGCGCAAAATAAAGAAAAACATAAGCTTTGGCCGACGATTGAAGCAAGGCTCGAGATCGTCCCCAACTGATTTGCATAAAAAAATAGTGGCCGCATGAGGTTGCTGTTCGCGCTGTATTTTTACATGCATGTGCACAGCGCGTGAGGATATATGCCGACGATTGACCGCGTACAGGACGAATAACGACGAGAGCATTGACCAAGGCTAGCTAAACGTGCGCAAGCATTGACACAACGCACACGCACTCGCAGTTGCTGTAATTCATCGGATCAGTGCGCGACATCGCGTAGCTGCAATCGGCTCAGTGAGAACGTGTCTCGGACACTGAATTCAGGCCCAATTCAAAACATGACTCAGCAACTTTTGATTTGAAATCGAGATCCTAGAATATTGTTTCCTCGGAATATACAGCATTCACTGAGCTGAAACTTCATCAGGTTAGCACCCTTCTTTAGATTTTGGGCACTTTTGTTGCTTCAAACGAACATAATGCACAAATTACAAATGATGGACACTACCTTTAAGAGTACAGCACTTTTTTAAAAAACTTGATAGACAAAATTTACAGTCCAAATTTCACATATAACCACTCCACACTCACGTGGGCAGGTAAGCGGATAACAATCCCTGGTTTCCAAGCCACGCCCCCAGCAATAGTCTCCTGCGTACTGTGGGGCAGGATTGTCACATGACCGCCGCCGTGTGATGACTCCGTAGTTACAGGTGACGCTACACTCCGACCAGCTGGTCCACTCAGACCAAGCGCCATGGACTGTATACAAATTAATAAAAAATAATGCTTGGATGAAAATTGACCAAATTGACTTGAGAAAGTGAAATCTAAAAGCCTACAATTTGATTACATGTAATGTGTAGTACAGACAAAACTTAACAGTGATATTTATGCAAAAATTATCCCAAGCAATTTGATTTCCAATTCAAGTAGTAAAGGCCGGTTAATACTCGACTCGAAAGCGAACACGAACGCGAATTTGTGACGTCGGGGCAAGTTTTTGTGCTGCAAATTCGCAAAAGTTGAACATATTTCAACTCCGGCAAATTCGCAGCGAATGCTTTGCGACGTCAAATTTGTATCGCATTTACATGATTAGTATCAACCGGCCTTTAAATCTGGTTTAACAGTTTTGTTGGGAATTCCCCAGACCCAAAGACACTTCGTACATGTAATTTGAGCAAACTGTACACAGGCACAATATCAATCCAGTAACGGTTTGGTTAACAACTTTACAATTCGTCGGTCGCACCACGAACCGGCGTATCTGGATTTTTTGCCAAATTGAGTTTTTGTCATTAACGTTATTATTTCATCAAAGTGCTCATTCTCAGAAAGTGTTATTCCGATCGGAGTTCTAATTAACTAAGAACACTAATTAGACTGTGTGGCGTATCTCTAAAAAATGAAAAATGCTGCACCACAAAGTGGCGTATCCCGATACGCCGCTTTACACGCTAATTCCCATAGTGCTATGACGTCACAAAGGAGCGTCGACATGAAAAATTGGAATTTAGCGTTTCACGAACCGACGTACCACGGCCACTATTACGCGCGTTGTATGACATACGGTAAACATGATAAAAATCTGTTTCACGAATTGACGAATAACTTTGGAGCTGAATTTCTCAAAAACTTAGCAACTCAGATGCACACGGATTGCATACAATAAAGTTGAATCTATAATTTACTAGCAAAAACGAAACAGCTTGAATTCTTACACAGGGAGTATATGGAATGAGCCTACAAAATAATGAGCAACTTTTAATCGGTTTTTCTCGAAACACAAAAAAAATGCGATACGTCGGTTTGTGGTGCAACCAACGAATTAATATGAAGTAATTCTCCCTCTCTGGCCGGCAAATTCAGCTACGGTATCTATCACGGCAGTCAAAATCAATCAAGTGACTGATTTTAACAGTTTACAAATTCCCTCATGAATTTGATATAACCATGCTTTGACTAGAGATGATCGATACGCCAGATAAACCAACCAGTTACCTCTTTTGTCTGTTGATGGAATTTGACACGTCATACAGTGTTTACACGAATGCAATCTGACTGTTTTTTATTAATCTGTATACAAATGTATGGCAGAGGTAGTTGACAACAGTACTGACTGTGACCGATCAAACAATAGTTAAAGCTATAGTCCATCATTTGCAGCCATCCGAAAAGTAACTGGCGTAATTATTGTTGAAAAACAAACTTGGTTGAAAGATAGTAAGGGAACTAAACTCCCTGTGAAATTATTCTTTCTGGGAAGCTGTCATTTTGAAGTAATCAACGAAAGAAGGCATTTCCAACGGTGATTCTTAAGAAGCACCGTAGGAAAATTTAAATTAGTAGTTCGTTTTGTTATTCAGCGCAGCGCGCACAAGTATTGGAACGACGCACACGCGCGCGCGGTTGTTGTAATTCATCGGATCAGTGCGCGACGTCGCGTATAGCTGCAATTCAAAACAATTCAAAACATGATTCAGTAACTTTTGATTTGAAATTGAGATCTTAGAATGCTGTTTTTCTCGGAATGTACAGCTGAAGCTTAGCTGAAACTTCATCAGGTTAGTTGCTCAGTATCCTTCATTGGATTTTGAACACTTTTGTTGCTTCAAACGAACAAAATGCACTAATTACAAATGATGGACTATAGCTTTAATATTAAGAAAAATTACTTGGGCAAGGATCTGGATTGCATCCTCTCTCTTCGCTTGTGACGCCCACGCAGGGTTGACCTCCGTAGAACGGACCGATGCAGGTTCGATTCCTGGTCTGGGTGCTGCCTCCACAGGAAACAGGACAGGCATGCCAGTCACTCCACATGGTCCAGTTCCCATCCACTGCAGGGAGAAATGTATAATATCCCTTTCAATACCTTAGACTTTACATGAAGCCTGTACCTAACAGCCCAGTACTCCATGGATTTTTTTGTTTGTTTTATATTCTATGAAGGGATGTAACTTTATTTTGGGGGAGGGGAGCTGGGATAAGTACAAGACATAACAATACCAATGTATATGGGTTGAGGGGCAAGTTGGGGTGAAGTGGCTTGCCCAGGGACACAACATGCATTGGCAAGAAGCTACACTCAAACTATTGACCCTCAGCCCGTGGATCACTATCACCAACCACTAGGCTTCACTTCCCCGCTACTACAGTGACCTTATTATGACTGACTTGTGATGGAACATGGATTGACTAGACTATGACCTACCGGGGCAGGGGTCAACATTACAGGCCTCTGTTTCATCATACGGTCCCTGGCAGGGTGTTCCACCGTGCATTGGTTCTTGGCACTCTCTCCGGCGGTACCTGGTCCCTGAACCACAGGGTAGAGTGCAGTTGGTCCATCCACTCCACTCCAGCCAGATGCCATCAACTACACAGGCCAGAAAGGCATCAAAATTAGGCACTCCTATAGCATCTCAACAACTTTAAAGAGGTTGTGGAATGCTCGAAGACATTTCCGTCATTTTTCGAGTATATGTAGCCTAAGTTGTGATGAAATAAAAATGACTATTGTTTCTGTCATGAAATGAGTACAAAAGGTACTTTTGAGAGCTGTTTTTCAGGTCCAGTTTCGACCCGAACATGCAACTGTGTAAAAGTCGATGTTGCGGGCAGCAAACAAAACACAGTAAATCGTGACGTAATAAACAGGACTCCCGATGCACAGTAGCATACACGAGTCTAGCTGGCTTGTAATACCCGTTCACAGATGTGTAATCGATTGCAAACAAATGCGGACTAACTAAATATGGTCAATTGGGGCCAGTATTTGAAAAAAAAGCCAGTTTTTCCAACGCTGGTCGGCTGACCAGTGTTGGAATTTGATACGGAAACACCACTTTTCTTGAAAATGACAGTATACCAGATGCCATGATTTTACAGGATGCCAATTTAGACTGTCATTCACTAACAGTCCAGCAAGGTATTTCAAAATAATATGGTAGTTTTGTTTTTGATGTTTGCAAATGTTGTATTTTCCCTTTAACCTGGCATGTCAAAAACAAACTCAACAGATTTCAAAGAAAATCAATCATGCGCATTTTTTTTCGAATGTGGAAATGGTTCATCATGTTCACGATGTGATGATGTCGTTGCCACTTACATTCTGTGTTTCCTTTTCTTTTCGATCCACATAGACTACACCTTAAATAAATTCACATGTTCTTCGTTTCACGTTCAATGTGTTTGTAATATAAATCAACTGGTTTTTTTTTTAATTTCAACAGCTTGTTGACTCGAGTTTGCATCTGATGTACCGCATCATTGATTTTCCATGTGTTTGACATCGTGCCTTTATTTGAACACGAGTAATTTTAAAACTCTTTTAAATATCAAACCAATACTCGCCGGGGATAAAGTTAAGATTCCAAACTTTAAAATGGTATAACAACAATGGCAGTATGTGATTCTGCGCCGACGTTAGAGCCTCGCAAAAACAGTGGCGTAGCCAGGAATTTTTCAGTGGGGGGCGCTGGGGGGCTGGAACATTTCATGGGGGGGGGGGGGGGCGTCATGTAGATCAACGATAATTTTTTTAGAAGCTCAAAATCTCAGTGGGGGGGCGACTGGGGGGGCGACAAGGTTTCATGGGGGGCGGTCGCCCCCCCCCCCCCCCACGCCCCCCCCCCCCCCTTGGCTACGCCACTGCGCAAACAAAAGGTGCAAGTGGGACGCACTGTAGTAGGAGTATGTGATACTGCCAGTCACGTACAGCCTAGTAATTCAGACACGCCCATAGCCAGTTGGAATCAACATTGTCCAAATTACCCGGACAGGGGTCCATGTTACAGACGTCGCCGTCAAAGGAGTCACCGTAGCAGGCCGTCCCATCATCCAGGCAGGTCCGTGAGCGAGTTGTGTAGGCTCCCTCCCCACAGCTGATGGTACACTCAGACCAGCTGGACCACGGTGTCCATCCGCCATACACTGCAAAGAACAGAAACAGGTTAAAACTGCAATGTGACCCAAGTAGAACCTGATTACTAACGGCTAGTTGTGTCTCATCAGGTTTTATTTGATTATGATTTACTATCATTTATTTATTTCTGGTGATGAAACCAAGGATTCCTCTAAAAAAAGACCTCAAAAGCACCCAAGGCACTGTAGGCTCGCAAGCCTGAAGAAACCAGTAGAGAGAAGACAATGAGAAGAAATTACAGTCTTAGAGGTGGGAGAAAAACCCCAGAAGAATATTCTGGAAAAAACCTAGTCCGAGTAACTTGGACCCAACTTATCGCCTTTTTTAACATTTGGACATGGTCTGGCGATAGTAAGGTCCAAGCTAATACCGCGAGCTGGACAACACCGTCCCAAAAACCAACATTTTCCAAAAAAAAATGCCCAGTGTACATTCGATGGTCCCCGTATCCCGAGTGCGATTCCGTTACCGAGCGCGCACGATGCATCGATTATGATGAGTCACGTTTGTAAACACATACATGTGCATTTCAAACTGTAAAAGGGAATCGGGAACCAGCTTGAACTGGTATCCGCCATAAAAGCTGCGCTAGTTCCCGACTCCCTATTATCGTTTGAAATGCACATGTGTTTACAAACGTGATCCAGTCTATCATTATCATAATCGATGCATCGCGCGCGCTCGGTAACGGAATTGCACTCGGGATACGGGGACCATCGAATGTACGCTGGGTATGAAGAAAAAATCGCGTCGTTCAAACATTAAACACGATCGGAAATTTAACGTGTTCAAGATCGCGAGGGGAGCTCTCCGAAATGAACGGAAAATTTCACTTTTTTCCGGATCGTAAGTAAACTTCAGTACAACCATCTTAAACATCAGTGTCTACTTGTACCTCAGGTGGCATATCTAGTAATTTGGAGGCCGTTTTAAAGGTGAAATCTGATGTTTTTTGTTGGAAAATGTTGGTTTTTGGGACGGTGTTGTCCAGCTCGCGGTATTAGCTTGGACCTTACTATCGCCAGACCATGTCCAAATGTTAAAAAAGGCGATAAGTTGGGTCCAAGTTACTCGAACTAGAAAAAACCCAAGTAATCAGTCAGTGGCTGGAAACCCAATCCACATGTTGGCCCAGGTGGGATTCAAACCTGGGTCACAGCGGTGGAAGGCGTTCTGCACTGTAAGCCACACTTTAATTGATCATTGATGAAAAGTAGTGTTCCTGAAATCAAAATCAAGACTCTTTTTCACTTGATATTCGCTATTGTCGCTACTTTACCTGGGCTCAATCAATGTCATAGAGAAAAATCCCTGCTAAGTTAATTACTTCTCAATATTATGCCAGTCATTCCAAAACGTTGAAAAGACATGAATTTGAGACTGAGTAAAAATCCAATTCTGTTGGAAAATACTCTGAAAATATTTTTAGTAATGTTAGGTAGTTATAGGCCACTTGTATTGAGTTGTAACCACTCAAGTGTGGCGTCTGGACACTCTTTCCAATTAATTAGCATATCAACTTACCTAATTCTGAAGAACATATCAAAAGAAATACTATTGCCGAGGTAGACTTTGAAAAATGTCCACAAAGCATCACTTAGTTTTGTGGCACGACGGATAAGGGCCTAGTACTGACTGTGAACTTTTTTTCACGAAACTGGTGAAGCGTATCAGAATTTAACTCCAAACGTAGTTATAGTTGAATAAACTCATTGTCTGAGATCATTTCTCACGCGGAACATTTTAAATAAACGGCATCTGAGCATTAAACACTGCCAAAAACACCACCGTGGAAGTTTCCTGATTTCCACTTTGCAAAAACGACTCGATGAACACACCATAAAATGCGTGTAAAAATGCGAAATTGAAATTGCCTCCATTTTCTTGAAATTACTACTGCAGGCTTATGCCTAGAGAGGGCGCACTTGCGTGGTGCTCGCGTACCCGCCGCGCGCAGTTGATTTTGAGAGAAGCAACTTATCATCCCCGGAACTCACTTACGGCTACAGTCCATCTATACTACAATTCAAGGAATCTCTGTCTGTCTGTTTGTCGGTCTGTCTGTCTGTCTGTCGGGCTGTCTGTCTGTCTGTCTGTCCGTCGATTATCTCCAGAACCGGGCACCGTATGACGTTGAAAATCGGCGGGTGTATTGCTCGGGACACTAGAATGTGCCGTGCCAAGTTTGAAGTGGTTTGGACCAGCGGTTCTCGAAAAAGCTGCAAAAAAGCAGCATTTTCTGAAGCCTAGCGTGCCAGTATATAGCTTAGAACATAACACCACGCACTGCCGTTCTTTTCAATTGTTTACGTCATGTACAGCTTAACCGCGCGTGCTCAATATGACGCAAACGATGCAAAAATGACGGGCACGCGCCATAACTCTATCCGGTTCGTTAGTAAAAACGTCATACACGCGCGCACACCACTGATTACTAGCGCCCATTGGCTGCAAACGCTCGAGCTGCGTTAACTTCCGGTTCCAATCGTGCAGAAAGTGCTGGAGGTGACGTCACACTAACGAACCGGATGTCAAGCGCACGGGCATTGTAGGGCGATACTATTGTCCAGTATGGGTGAATATATATAGCATTGCGTACCATGTTACCGTATGTACACCTATACGTGGTGGCTGCACGGGCACATTATTTTTGCAGTCGACTGAGCGAACTTACTGCAGGACGATACCATTGTCCAGTAGGGGTGAGTAATATCTGCGCTATTTTTTGCAGCCTTTTTGAGAACCACTCGCCCAAACAATTTAAAACTTGGCACAAACTTTGACGTGAGTGTGCGTTCAACCTGTGAAAACAACACCTGGCATTGAATCGCATGCGTTGTTTGCACGAGCAGTTCTCAAAAACTCTGCAAGCCTGCAACCAATACCTGCGGCAAAGCAATTTGCGCTTCTCAAACAAGCACATTTTAGACGGCACAGCACGGTTGTACGCGTACGAGGACGTGAGAGGCTGCACGGCCATACGCATTTTGTCGTCGACTGAGCAACAATTACTGTAGGCGACTGACTGAGCCACCTTTACTGTAGGACGATACCATAGTCCAGTATGGGTAAATATCAGTGCCAGGGGTTGGCGACTCGTACAAAGTGCGCGTTTAACCTATAAATGTGCGTTCAACCTGTGAAAGCTAGCAACATGTCGCCAGTGTGCGTTGTTTGAATGAGCAGTTCTCTGCCCCCTCCAACACAGACACATTTTTCAACGGGCCCTGCACTAGTCTATACTATAATTCCAGGAATCTCTGTCTGTCCGTCTGTCTGTCCGCCGCTAGTCTTACTATAATTCAAGGAATCTCTGTCTGTCTGTCTGTCTGTCCGTCGATTATCTCCGGAACCGGGCACCGTATGAAGTTGAAAATCGGCGGGTGTATTGCTCGGGGCCACAGAATGTGCAGTGCCAAGTTTGAAGTGGTTTGGATGAGCGGTTCTCGAAAAAGCTGCAAAAAAGCAGTATTTTCGGAGGCAAATGTGGCAGCTTAGAACATAACACCACGCACTGCCGTTCTTTTCAATTGTTTACGTCATGTTTAAGCTAAAGTGCGCGTGCTCAATATTATTATTATTATTATTATTATTATTATTATTATTATTATTTATTCGACCATCACAGAAACAAAACAAAACAAAATTGAGTAAAACGAGCATAAAACAACGAACAACAAGTACAGTAAGACGGTAGCGGGGACCTGGGACGAAAATCCGAATACATGACAAGACAAATGACAGTTATGTGGGTCAGGGACCGCAAAAGTAAAATAAACTACTATTACCCGCGGGTATGTAGCCCCGCACATAACGTTGAAAAGACAGATTACAAACACAGAAAACATCGGCCCCCGCAGGGGTGATCAAAATGACAGCCAAAAAAAGAGAGCAATGGGTTGAGTTAACTTACCGATAAGAATGTCTGCTTGAGGGCCCTAAGGAATCGAGGAAGGGAGTCGACAACAGCTGAGTCTTTAGGCCTTTTCACACTATCTCCGTTTCGAACCGTGTTGAAACCTACCCGGATCCAACCCGGTTCAGCCCGAGTATTTTTCGACACGGATCGGAGAGACGCGACGTTCACACTGTCCTTTACGGGAACGGCCGCTACGTGAACCGTGTAACGTTCAATCCAGCTACGGCCCACGTGTATTCACACTACAAATTCTCGACACGGATCGCATTCGGCACAGGGCGCTGCGATGATTTTCTCAATCCCATAATGCATTGCGACGCACGCGGCTGCTGCGCGCACGAGGCTTACGGACAGGCCGGTGTTCAGCGTGAATTTACTACTCTGTGAAATACGGACTCATTGGTAGTATTGCGCATGCCTATTAGGAGAAGGACCTGTCACGTGAAAGGGTTTGCCCAATAATAAGAGAGTAAAGGAATCCGATTTGGGAGTCCGATTTTTGTACGACACCAGCGCAGCTGTGTGCAATATTTCCAAAATGGCTCCGGTCATTTCGTTAGACGATTCGTTCTATTTAACATTAGAAATGTACTTTTTGGGGGTACATTTTGCAGACCTAATACAAGCCCAGACTCGGTAAAGGATGCTCCATACACCGATACATTATTGGATGATAATTAGGGAGCAATTGTTTCGTGATCGGTGTTGTGACGGCGATAGTGGTGGAGGGAAATATTATGCACGGCGTGTCAGATTTTCGGTAAAATGTCGGCCTCAACTCAACACGGATCGGCCGTGAGTACGTGACTCAACCCCGGGCAAGGGCGGATCCAGGGGGGGGGCCAAAGGGGGCCATGCCCCCCCCCCCCCCCAAACGAAACCAATTTTTTTTTTTTTATTTAACATCGCAATAAAGGCAGGCAATGAGTACTATCACCATGATAAAATATCATGTTTTATTTTTACTGTTTAAGTTGTATACGTTGACCTTCAAGGAACAGGACCACTTTCCTGGTAATGATACACATCTAAGGAATGGCCAGTTTAGCCACAAGGTCCGCGTGGGTGGATGCTGGGCTGCATCGGAAGGCCACAGTGATTCAGCCCACAGACTTATAAGGAAATCCGATTGTTCTATTAATTTGCCTAGCCCTGCCCCCAGATACAAGTTGACCAAACACCTTCAATTCTGTATTATTAATATTCATTAGTTAGTGGACGATTCCTAATAAGGCAAGAAACCTGTAAGATAGCTGTAAGATTGGAATGTTCATTTACTGTATAAAAACCCAGTAGAATCTAGGAATCAGACAGAGAGCGTCACAGCCAACCGAATAAACCACATCATCCCAAGTACCACTTCGTCTCTTACTGTCTTACTTTGTCTATATAACCTCACGGGTTATAGTACACCACCATCTTTTCCTCAAAAAAACATTGGTTAAAGTGGTCAGAAATTGCCTCAGATCGCACCACAGAGCATCTAGAATCCAAAAATTTTTCGGGGCCCTTAAGCGGGCCCCGAACCCCACGACGTAATTTTTTTGACCCACTTTTTTGGAGGACCAAAATTTTTTTTGGCCCCCCAAAAAATTGTGTTCTGGATCCGCCCTTGACCCCGGGCGGTTCACACCATCATTTTCGACACGGTTCAGGCCGAAAAATGCAATTTCGATCCGGGTTGAGATTTTCAACCCTGGTCCCTCCCAGGGTTGATTTCGATCCGGCTAGAGCACGCTACCCGGGTCGGAACCGGGTTGAAATTTTAGAAGTGGGAAAAGGGTTGAAGACATGAGGCGGTAAAGAATTCCATATTCTAGGGAAACTGCGGGTGGGGGAATGAAACAAAGCAAGTGTGCGTGAATGAAGATGGCGGAATGTAAGCACATCTGGGTGGCGTGGGTTGATTAGGATGTTGTCACTGAATATGGTCTCACATTGGCATAAACCGTGTAAACATTTAAACACAAAGGAGCATGGTAGGTATTGTCTTCTGGATGATAAGGAGAACCAGTTAAGCCGGTCAAGCCTGTCCTCATATGTCATCTGACCTCGCCGTTGTTTTAGGGCAATTCGGGTTGCTGAACGTTGCACACGCTCAATCTGTTGTTCTTGTGATAGCGTGTGCGGGCCCCAGCAAGGGATACCATATTCGAGGACAGGTAGGACAAGCGATTTATACAGTGTGAAAAATGCTCGGGTGGATGAACCTCCAGCAACTGATCGGATAAAACCTAAGAGGCGATTGGCACGAGAAACAATGACATTAACATGGGAATTCCAGCTTGGGTTAGAGCTAATAGTGATACCTAGGTACTGAACGGATGAGGAAGCGGCCAAAGGGGAATTACCAAGATTGTAAGTAGGAGGATGAATATTTCTACTTCGAGTAATGTGCATAACCTTTGTTTTGGAAGGATTAAAAGCCATGTGATTACACAATGACCACTGAAGAAGGTGATTAAGATCAGTCTGAAGATGATGCTCGTCCACTTGTGACTGGATAACACGAAAAAGCAGCGCATCATCAGCAAACATAACACTTCTAGAAGAAACACTGTCAGAAATGTCATTAACAAATAAATTGAACAAGGTAGGACCTAGAACACTCTCTTGTGGGACACCAGAAGAAACATCTGCACAAGACGAAGCACTACCCTGGAATATCACACGCTGTCTGCGGTTTGTTAAGAAGGATCTGACCCAATGCCACACGGTGCCTCGGATGTTAAAACGTGAGGCCAGTTTCTCAAGCAGGACACCGTGCGGCATCCTGTCAAATGCCTTAGACATGTCGAGGAAAACGTCGACTTAGACGCCCACTTAGTGCAAAACGTTAACAAGTTGGGTTACACAGCTACGACGTTTTGTAAAGCATTGCTGTTTAATAAGCCTAACATTATCTGTGTGATCGGTTAAGGCCGATGCAACGACTCGCTCTAGTACTTTGCACAAGACTGACGTGAGAGCAACCGGCCTGTAATTTGCCAGGATGGACTTATC